CATCTCTAAATTCAGGTGGAAAATGTTCAGTCATATTTTGGTTCTTGTGGACTTGTTTTAATTTTCTTCATCTTCAGCATGAAGTTGTATCTGAGCAATAAAGGGTGTATTCCACAGTCTGTCCCTGCCCTTGTTTTGAATGATGATATGAAGCTTCTACCTGCCCACCTCCCATTAATGTCTCTTTCCACAAATGTAGTCAATTTGCTTTCTATTATGTTGTTTTACAAACGTATTTGCAATGAAATAGTCATTGGTCTTGCAAAATTCTATTATGTGATCGCCAGCATCTTTTCTAGCACCAAGGCCATATTTCCTAACAACTGATCCTTCCAACATTTGCATTCCAATCGCCAGCAATTATCAATACCTCTTGATTGCATGTATGATCCATTTCAGACTGAAGAAGTTGGTTGAATTCTTCAGTTTCATCATCACTGGCTTTACTGTTTGATACATAAGTTTAAATAATAGTTGTATTAATTGGTCTTCCTTTTAGGGGAATGAATATTATACTATCACAAATAGTGCTGTACTTCAAGACAGATCTTGATATGTTCTTTTTGATGAGAATGCCACACCACTCCACTTCAATTTGTCATTCCTGGCATGTGACTGTCAGATTCAAATTGGCCAATACCAGTCCATTTCAGTTCACTAATGCACCGTAAAGAATGATTTCTTTACGCATTCCATTTCATTTTTGACAATTTCTACTTTTCCTAGATTCATACTTCGGACACTCCATGTTCTGATTATTAATGGATGTTTATAGCCTTTTCTCTTCATAAATGGTGTTGTGCACCATCAGCAAATGAAGTTCCCAAAGGCTTTACTCTACTCACGCCAACACTGTCAATTCTATTTTGAGGAGGAAGCTTTTTCCAAGTCAGATTTTTAGTGCCTTCTTTATGCGGGGTCATCTTCAGGCAATATATCTGACAATATTCTGGTGTTCTTCATCATGTTTCAATCTTCAAGATTCTGATGCTGACAGTGCTCTACTGCTATTCATAAGGGTTTCAGTGACTAAATATTCAGAAGTAGACTGTATGTCCTTCTCCCTAGTCTGGCCCTACCCTTGTTTTGGTTGATTATAGGTAGCTCACCTGGGAAGCTCAGCTTAAACCTGACCACCATGGGTGACCCTGATGGTATTTAAAATACTGGTGGCATAGCTTCCAAAATCACAGCAACACACAAGCCACCACAGCACGACAAACTTAGAGATGAGTCCATCAATAGACAAACAGACAAACAAAATGCAGAAAACATGTGCTTTGTTGCTGTTGTTGTTGTCAAGTGCCATAGAATCAGTTCCGACTCACAGGACCCTGTATAGGGTTTCTGAGTAGCAGCTGGTAAGCTTGAACCACCGACCTTGAGGTTCAAACCGATATAGCAGTCCAGCGCATTAAACCCCAGCACCACACCAGGACTCTAGAATACATGTGCAGCAGAGTATTATTCAGCCATAAAAAGCAATGAAGCTCTGATACAGGCCACAACATGAACTTTGAAAACATTATGCTGAATGAAAGAAGTCAGATACAAAAGGACAATAGTATATGATCCCACTTACATGAAATATCTAGAACAGGCAAATACCTAGAAACAAAGTTCTTACAAGGAAGAAGGAAACGGGGAGTTATTGCTCACAGGTTACTGAGAATGTTTTTAGTGATTGAAAAAAAATGGAAATGAAGACTGGTAATAGCTGCACAACATAGTGAATATAATCAATGTCACTGAATTTTACACATAAAACTGACTAAAAAGGCAAATTTGTTATGTACCTTTTATTACTATACAATAAATTTTTTAAAAATAATAAACTGGAAACAATGTCAATAACCATCAAAAGCAGGGCACCGTTGCCCTGCTCAAAGATGGCGGTGTCCCTTTCAAAGACGGCAGTTAATAGTCTGCTTTCAATGTGTATGGCTTTCTACTGTCCTACAGATAATCCAGTCTCATGCATCAAGTTCATGGAACGGCTACATATCCCTCTTCAGAGACTCCCAATCCAGGGTTCTGATTCAAAATTTTCCTGTTTTAGTTGCCATAACAAATCATCCAAATTGTAAAAACTCAAGTTTATTTATGTTTCATTTTATCACCATAACAAAAGCAGCTAAAAGCATTTCATCAAAAGAAATGAATTTATGACATTTGTAATCTGAGGACTTGCCTGTTGTATCTTATGGTGGTGGTGGTTATGTGCCTTGGAGTTGGTTCCAACTCATAGCAACCCTGCATAAGGTATCTGAGGCTGTGAATCATTACAGGAACGAAGAAACTCATACTTCTCCCGCCAAGTAGCTTGTAGATTCAAACTGCTAACCTTGAAATTAGCAACTCAGCTCATAATCCACTACACTACCAGAGCTTCTTGTTATATTTTATTGTAGTTGTTGTTGTTGTTAAGTGCCGTCGAGTCGATTCTGATCCATACCAACCCTGTATAGGGTTTCCAAGCAGTAGCTGATGAGCTTGAACCACTGAACTTACAGTTCAAACGACTTTGCATTCTGACGCATTAGTCCACAGCGCCACAATATTTTATAGTTCATTAAAAAAAAAATAATTAAACTTTAATTTGTATATACAGGTTGTTAAGTGCCATCGAGTTGGTTCTGATCCATAGCAACCCTGTATAGCGTTTCCTAGGAGCAGCTGGAAAAAAACAGGGAGTGGTTAATCTTCCTAGGAGCTTGAACTGCCGACCTTACAGTCCCGACTTATAACAGGGTTCTGTTTAGATAGCTTCATCACAAGTTAGTTTTCATACAAGTCAACCACCTCTTTGCTCTTTTTTTACTGTTCATTATTGTTTTTCATTAACATTATCTTTATAAATCCAAGTTTTGTACATCTATGAGTGAAAATCTGAGACTGACAGCATCAACAAATCAGGTATGGCAACTTCTTTGTATGTACTACATATTATTAACAATAAGATATGCCAAAAAGACAACAAAATACGTAAGTCAGGGACTACTGGTATGTGAGGAACTGAAGCCTAAAGTGTTTAAATGATTTGTTCAAGGCTAATAAATTAATCAGAAATCCAGATTTTAAAATATATAGACAAATAAGGCCCAATGCAGGCCTATGTTTTCCCACTAGAAATGCTCTCTTTTTCATAACTATGCTATGCTTACCCACTTTAATAGCTCTCTTCTATCATCAAACTGCACTGGACTGCCAACCACAAGGTTGGCAGTTCAAACCCACCAGCAGCTCCTAGAAAACCCTATATAAATTGTCATTATAAGTTGAAACCGACTCAATGGCACTTAACAACAACAATCTTTCCCAGAGCATATTGCCAGGTGTTTTATCCCATGAAGTCTCTGGGTGAATTTGAACTACTGACCTTTTGTCTAGTAGCTGAGCACTTAAATCTCTGTGCCATGAAGGATCCTTATCGTCTTCTTAAAACAGAATAAATTTTAGGAGGCATTTAAAATTTAATTGGATATAGCAATAGTATCTACTGCTAAATCATTTCATATAAGCCAATAATGCACAATCTGTCATCACTGATACTTTATTTCTTCTGAAATTACGAATTAATCTCAAAATTAGAAGCGATGCTTTACACTATAGCATAAAAAGAGCAGCCTAAAACTGTTCTGGTTCTTCCAGTGAAGGCAGTGTTTTATGTATACTTGGAAGTACACAGACTATTTTTTTAAAAAAAGGTTCTATGAATATAAGAACTTACATAGCTACAGTGCCATCTACTGCAAGATAAAGACTACATTACTTGGCAAAATTCACTTTTTTTTCTCTGAGACAAATTCCAGCACCTTCACAAAATTTATTAATTATTAAGATACATCTAGGGAATGCAGTAGCTCCACACAATAAGCACTGCACTATGAACTATAAAGTCTGCAGTTCGAACTCACCAGCCGGAGAAATATGAAGCTTTCTACTCCCAAGAAGATAAAAAGCCTTGGAAACCCTATGAACACTATGAGTTGGAACCAACTTGACAGTACTCAACAACAAAAAGAAACCATTTATTCATGTATTCACTTACACAGTAGTTACAGTTGAATCTAACGAGATCACAAATGTCAATACTACATCAAGACCACAGAGAAAAGTTGCAGAAGATTCAGAAATTAACATCCAGCTGGTTCAAAAATGACCCAGGATTTCCTTCTCAATAGCCTTTTCTCAAAACTCTCACTTCATACTCTCCAAAATAAAAACCTTTCTTTTCCTTCAACATGACTAATTCACTCATTTATTTCATGCCTAAAAATTAAAGATGTTGTATTCTTTATAAATGCAAGGCCAACATGCCACCATCACCTCTCCACTCCAAAAGGAAGTCCATGGCTAAAAACAATATTGATGTAATTTACAGGTTTCAGATGAGCTTCCAGACGAAGACAGACTAGAAAGAAGGAGTGACAAACCACTTCCAAATATTTAGTCACTAAAAACCTTATGAATAGCAGAGAAACACTGTTAGATATGGTGCCGGAAAATGAGCCCCTTAGGTTGGAAGGCACTCAAATGCGACTTGGGAAGAGCTGCCTCCTCAAAGTAGAGTTGACCATGATGACGCGAATGGAGTAAAGCCTGTGGGAGTAATGTTTGGTAAGGTGGAGGGTCAGAGAAAAAGAGGAAGATGAGATGGATTGGCCAAGAGGCAGCATCAATGGGCTCAAGCATGGCAATAGTGAGGTTAGCCCAGGATCGGGCAGAGTTTCGTTCTGCTGTGCATAAGGTCACTATGAGTCAGCATCGACTCAATGGCACTTAACAACAACAACATATAGAACTATTTTCTCTTCACATTCTTCTATTTAGGAGGGGACTTCAAAAAGTTTGCAAAAAAAGACTTTTCAATTCCATTTTCCGTGAACTCTTTTAAGCCCCTTGTAACAAATGAAAATAAAACGATAAAAGTCCTATAACTTCTTTAATTTAAAAAGGCTTACATTGGGCATAGGGGGTGAGGGGGGTGAACAACTCACTGAGGTGCTACACGTCTCCAGTAGCGATCAATTCCATTTTTGAAATACAGCACAGCAAGCCACCTTACATTTATATCCAGAGTATGGTTTGTGAAAATATTCTGTAAATAGAAAACATGGTATTAGAATGAGCATATAATAAGTTACAAGTAAAATTAACATACCCATCATAGAATCTTAATGGATTTTTAATTCAGTGTTTTATCTAAATTTTACTGTTTTTCAAATTCCATAAATATATATAGCTCAGCAACTCATATGAAAAACAAACTTGCTCAAGAGTATAACTGTTCAAACTGTGCAGTAAATATACAGAAAATCATCATGAGATTTTCCTTTGGGATATATACAATTGAGCCTATTTCAAATGAGCAGCGTAACCTCTACCAATAAAATGTTAAGTATGCTCACCAAAGCAGATTCAAAGATTCTAAGGAGACAATGCCACTGGGTGTTAATGTTGTTGCTGCTGCTGTTGTTAAGTGCCGTCGAGTCGGTTCCGACTCACAGCAACCGTGTGTAGGGTTTCCAAGGAGCAGCTGGTGGGCTTGAACTTCCAATACTGTGATTCACAGCTCAGTGCTGCTCCTACAGCGCCACACTAGGAGTTCAGGTTGTTAATACACAGTAGGAAACAACCTATTTCAAAGTACTCTCCTAATCAAATAAGTTCTCTACCATGGTGGTGGTACTTGTGTACAATCAAGTCAGTTCTGACTCATTGTTGTTGTTGTTGTTAAGTGCCTTCGAGTTGGTTCCGACCCATAGCGACCCTGTACAGGATTTCCGAGGGTGTAAATCTTTACGGGAGTAGAAAGCCTCATCTTTCTCCCGCGGAGCAGCTGGTAGTTTCGAACCACTGACCTTAAGGTTCGCAGCCCGATTCGTAACCACTACGCTACCAGAGCTCCTTATAGCCACCCTATATAGGGTTTCCAAGGCTCCAAATCTATAAGGGAGCTGAAAGCCTCAACTTCCTCCAACTGAGCAGCTGGTGGACTCAAGGTGCTGGCCTTGGAGTGAGCAGCACAATGTGTAACCCACTACACTACCAGCGCTCAAGGCTCCTTACTAAAACATTTTTCAAACTTTTTATTGTAAAGTGAGTAGAATAATTTAAAATACGTAAAAGCAGATGCAATATGAATTATTTCAACTCAGAACTGACCACTACTCAACTGATTCACTGTGTTAATCCAAATATAAGCAGTCCTTGATTTGCACAGTAGTTGTGGTTGTTGTTTAGTTCCCTGGAGTTAGTTCCAACTCATAGCAACCCTGTATAGGATTTCCAAGGAGAGGCTGGTGAATTTGATCTGCCAACTTTGCAGTTCAAACCGGCCTTGTGGTCCAACGCTTTATAAAAAAACCCCACAGCATCACACCAGAATAGTGAGAAACTGTAATTATGACTGTGCAAGCCAAAAGTGTGTACAGGTTAGCTAATAAAACAACCCAAACGCCCATCAACAAAAGAATATATAAACTATGGTACATATACACAACGCAATTATACAACGTTAAAGAATAAAATGAATCGGCAAAATGCCTCATAAAATGGATGAACCTGGAGAACGTTATATCAATCAGAAAAGGACAAATATTATATGAGACCACTATTTTAAAGAGTCAAGAAAAGGTTTTCACACGAAAAGAAATCGTTTTTGATGGTTACACCAGGGGTGGGAGGGGGAGGGGGAGTAAGTCACTGCCTAGAGGGTAGACACTTGTTAACTTGGGTAGACTGGAAGGCAATATATAACAAGAAGGTGATAGTGGTGGTTATGTGTTATGGAGTCGGTTCTAACTCATATCGACCCTGTATAGGATTTCTAGGGATGTAAATCTTTACGGGGGCAGAAAGCCCCATCTTTCTACCATGGAACCACTGGTAGTTTCAAGTTGCTGACCTTGAAATTAGCAGCCCGAATCATAACCACTGAGTTATCAGAGATCCTTATAAGAAGAAGAAAGCGATAAAAAAAATTATGAAAGCAGAGGAAGACATTGGGAAAAATACAAAAGCTGAAGGCAACAGAAGTTCAAAAGAAAAAAGTAATCTAAAAATCAATGAGAAAAAAAGTACAATTGATCTGTGACCTGTAAAATGTATGTCAAAACATTAAAACATTCTTATTGTAGGTAACAGAAAATGAAAAGAATACTAAAATCAGTATTTATTTAGTGCACTGCAATTAAAAACATTACACACATCAAGAACATACATGTTTCATTTCTTTGTAAAAAACATATTTAGAGCAGCTAGTTCATAGGACAAATGTAAGAGATGTGACGTGCGCAGGAAACACTAACTTAAATTGTACTGTGCTTCAGACCAAAAACAACTAAAATTCCCAGAGTTTACCTCCAAACACAACCTTGTGTGAGAAAAACGTTCAAGTGAAAAGTAATCACAACATATTGTAGTGGCTATGTTAAGTATTAAGGAGCTCTGGTAGCGTAGTGGTTACGAATCGGGCTGCGAACCTTAAGGCCAACAGTTCGAAACTACCAGTGGCTCCGCGGGAGAAAGATGAGGCATTCTGCTCCCGTAAAGATTTACAGCCTTGGAAACCCTGTACAGGGTTGCTATGGGTCGAAACCGACTCGACGGCACTTAACAACAACAACAACAATGTTAAGTATTAAAAGCAGGTTTCAGGGGCCACTAAGGACTAACCTCAAAGGCGGGGTTCTGGTATGGTGCTGAGGTTAATGCACTGGACTGCAAAGTCAGCTTGAATCACAAGGTCAGCAGTTCAAGCTCACCAGCCATTCCTCGGAAAATCTATCCAGGGTCACTGTGAGTTGGAACTGACTCAAACAGCACTTAAAAACAGAGACAATGTTTTACACCCCAGGAGTCCTGGTGTGGCACTGTGGGTTAATGTGCCAGACTGCAAAGCCATTTAAACTGCAAGGTCGGCAGTTCTAGCTCACTCCTCGGAAACCCTGTACATGGTCGCTATGGGTCGGAATCGACTCGAAGGCACTTAACAACAACTGGTGAGTAGCACTGAGAAAACAATTTTGAGTAATGTACAAAATGCAATAGATTCACAAAAAAAAGTGTAAGTATATGTTCTTAAATTTCCACAACACCCAGAAAAAGGTCAGAAAAACTAAGAAAGCGAATTTTTACGAAAAGACAAAATAGTTTATTAAGATGAAACCCATGACCCTCTAGTGCTGTAGTATAGAGACAACTCTAGCAACATAAAACAATCTGGGTGTGAAGAAGATAGACATTTATAGTCCTAAAGTCTGCAATAGGTTAATATGTTCAAACTAAAAATTATCACAGCAGAACCTACCAATACCATATCCTGCGCATTTATTTATTCATCCATCATCAAATATTTCTTTAACAACCTCAAAAAGCCATGCCCTGAATTAATAAAGTTAATGACAGGAAAACACTTGGTTCAATTTCACTACATTAAAACATGGATGCAATGAGGTTTCAGAATAATTTTAATAATGGTGTCTCAGTTTACTAAAAATTAATTACTTTACAACAACTTACCAGTAACACTGAGTAGAAACCTGGCTGTGTCTCCCATTGTTTCAATTGCTCCTCAGCTGGTTTTAACACAGTTGTATCCTGACTGGTGGCCTGTGTCAAAACCCGGAGAACAACAGTGCTGGCACTATTGAGATCCATGGAAACCTGGCAATGATAAGTTAACATATCTGAATGTACACTATACATAATATAGAACAGGGGAGACAAATAAGGTATAGATGAACAAGCAAATTGAGAAAAAATTGTTAATGCACTAAAACATAAATTTCATTTACTTTTTATGCTGTCAAATTTGAATATTTTCTATGTAATTAGTTGCTGCTGTTAGGTGCCAGAGTCATGAATCACTCCTTTACTTCACTCATTCACCTACTCTTTCATGTTTCCGCCAGATTTGTATCTTTTTTTGTTATTGTTCTTGTTGGGTGCTGAGTCTATTCCAACTCATAGCAACTCCATTACAAAAGCAAGCAGCACTGCTCCGGCACCACCCTCACAATCATGCTGTTTGAGCCCTTTATGGAAGACAGTTCAGCTGGTGGAGGGTCCTCCTCTTCTCCACTTTTACCCAGCATGATATTCTACCCCAGGAACTGGTCCCTCTTGATAACATGTTCAAAGTATGTGAGACAAAGTTTCGCCTTTCTCCCTACGATAAAGCACTCTAGCTACTTCTAATACAGATTTGTTGCTTCTTTTGGCAGTAAAGAAAAATTTCAATATTCTAAACCAACACCATAATTCAAATGCATCAAAATTCTTCTTCCTCTTCTTAAATCAATGTCCAACTTTTACATGCATATGGGAGCAATTGAAAATATCATTCTTTGGGTCAGATACTATAAAGAGGTCTTTTGCAGTAGATATAGCCAATATAATATATTGTTTGATTTCTTGACTACTGCTTTCCTGGTTATTGATTGTGAATACAAGTAAAAATGATATCCTGAAAACTTCAATTTCTTCTCTATTTATGATGCTGTTGCGTACTGGTCCAGTGCTGAGGATTTTTATCTTCTTTATCTGTAGTTGTTAGATGCCACCAAGTTGGCTACAAATCATAGCAATTTTATGTAAAACACAACAAAACAATGCCTGGTCTTGAGCCATTCTAACAATTACTGTTAAATTTGAACTGATTGCTGCTGCCACACAGGGTGCCAACCCACCTAGTTGAGGGTCTTCCTCTTTTTCCCTGGCCTTCAACTTTACCAAACATGATGTCCTTCTCCAATTCTCTTCCTTCTGATAACACACCCCAGGTATGACAGAAGAAGTCTGGCCAGCCTGGTTTCTAAGGGGAATTCTTTTTTTTTTTTTAATTTTTATTGTGAATTATGTGATAGTTTACATGGGAGAACATTAGCTTTACATTCATCCTATTGTATTTCATTTCATTGCAATGATTACAAACCCATGCAGGTATCATCAAACAACCAAACCCTGCAGGTATCATCAAACAATCTGCACGCCTGCCCCACAGCTGCCCGCAAACAGCTCCTCCCTCTCACTCCCTGAATCTAGAGTCCCCAGCCGCTCCATCTCTCCACATCACCATCTCTGCATCCATCCCTGGCATCACTGCTTCTCTGCATAGTGTCCTGCACTTCGCTCTTCTGCCTTGATGGTTCCAGGGACCTACGTTCCTGGACTGCACAATCAACCTCACCCCTCCTTTTGTTACAAAACGTCTACCTTTACCTTTCCAACACTCACAGTCAGTCCTGTTAGCAATCATTTACTATTGAACCATAAGGGTCTTCTCCCCATCACCTTTCACCAGCCCCGTCCAGACAAGTTGGAACTCACTCAGTGGACATTCTACCTTTCCCCATATCCTCTGGAACTACTTTCCCTATTTAAAGCTTGTAAGCCACACTTCTAGCCTATGTAGTGTGCTCCCCGCCCCATTTTGGGTAGCCAATATCTAAGTTACCCATCCTTGTCGAACCTGTGTACCAAGGGGATGGGAATGATGCTCACTGTAGAGGTTGGTTCACTCCTTTACCCTAATGCGTCCACAAGCATAGGTCAAGAACATCAAATTGTAGTGGACTACTATTTTTTTCCTCTTTTTTCTTCCTCTAGTTGTGTTTTGATCATCCAGTCATTAAAGCCAGGTCAAGTGGGTATTATCTGCAAGTGTGGGTGTTCTTGTGCATCTCCCCTCACTTCTTATTAGCTGGTGCTTCACTTTCTGCTCTAGTCCTCTGGGGCAATGTCCCTGTCCCTAGGCGCAGGAGTCCCAGGTCTTGCCATATTATCAGACAACCAGGTCTCAATCCAGGTTAACAGGAATCTATAGAATGTGGTTGGACTTAGCTTACAACTTCATTGCTGTTTTTCCACTTCCCCTTATCAGTGATCAACATGGTCAGCAGAAAGACCAAATGCGTGCTCGTTTATTACCCTTAAGATTGTGTCTTGGAAAGGGGTTTGCCTTAAGGGGACCTGACCACTTGCCTTGATGGTTCTCAGGGGAATAACCTGCTTGTTCTTGCAGTAGTCAATCAGACTGCTGTTACTGTTTTTTATTTTCCCTGCTGGTCTTTCTTTCAAGAAGTATCTTCTCTACGGTGATTTATGAATCAATCCAGCGGCAGTGGCCAGCAGCCAGAAGTCCTCAGGCCAGAGGGTAGGGCCACAGCAAAGCAGAGGCAGTGTCTCGGCACTAGAAGCCATGGAACTGCACGTCTGAAGGGAGAGGTGTAACTGATTTTTCATCTTTCACTTTTCATTTTTCACGTATCTTTCCTCTTCACTGCGATCATGCCCTCACTACCCAGCCCAGACACCTTCAGGATGGCAGAAGCACAACACAAAAGGGTCCAGCATTGCACCCACTTTTCCAACGGCACAGAGAGGAAACCCATAGGCTGCTTCTTATGACATCTGACTCTGGGACCCAGCCCCAAAGTTGATCTTTTATCCTTGCCTAGTCCTGGTGTGTCGCTGTGGGTTAATGCAAAGCCATTTGAACTACAAGGTCAGTGGTTCCTCGGAAACCCTATGCAGGGTCGCTATGGGTCGGAATTGACTCAACGGCACTTCACAACAACAACAACAACACAGCAAATGCCAGTGGACAATAGCAATCACAATTTTATTTTTGTTTTTGATTGGCAGTTTCTGTCTCTGTCTTTGGTCCTTTTGGCCTCACTTTTCTCCCAGGAGTTGGAGCTTTCTCCTCCTACCTTACCAAAGAAGAGACAACAACTGTACCCCTCCAGCCAAGCTACAGGCATACCCTGTAATACCTACCCCACCATCTGGACAAGAGCCAAAAATAGCATTACACGTGAAAAGGGAAGCATATCTCCAGATCATATCCACCAGGAGACACAGCAAGCTTAACAACAAACAACATACATCCATTTAAGCATTAAAAACCCACATAACTGCTGAAGATACCTAAGAAAACACAATTAAAGATCTTCCAGAACAGGAAGAGTCACAGAAGTCCACAGAAAAAATAGTTGAAGAGCTACTGGAAGAAAATTCTCCTAACAACTTGAAGGATGAGAAGATAAACATTCAAGAAGCTGAATGGACCCAGGAAGGGTAGACCCCAAAAGAAAATACTGAGACATAGCATAAACAAGCTCTCCAAAATCAAAGACAAGGAGAAAATCCTAAACACAGCCAGGGAAAAGAGAAGTGTTATCTACAAAGGCAAGCAAATCAGATTAAGCTCTGACTTCTCAGCAGAAACCATGCAGGCAAGAGGGCAATGGGGAGACATATATAAAACCCTAAAAGGAAAAAAAACTGCTAGACAAGTATCATCTATCCAGCAAAACTGTCAATCAAATACGATGGTGCAATCAAAACATTCCCGGATAAACAGAAGCTAAGAGATTTTTTTCAAAGGAAATCCAAGGCTTCAGAACCTCCTAAAGGGAGTTCTTTGGAATGAAAACCAGAAAGAACAGACAACAACCAGAGATTGACAGACATGGCAACACCACCTGAAACTCAAGCGACAGATAGCAGAGTTCAGAACGGAACAAAATTACAGCAATGAATTCAGAGGACCTGTGAGGCTAATCAAAGATCAAAATATTAACAATGTCAAAGAAGAGGAATATATAGAAACAGAGATCCAGGTGGTGAGGAAGTTGAATAGATGGCAGGATACAAAAGACTGTCTTAAACGCAGGGAAATCTTAACAGACTATATGGTAACCCCAAAGAAATCTAACACTTCACAACTTACCATAAAAATGAAGATCCAAGAAGAACAAGGAAACATTAAAACTAAGAAGAAACCGATAGGAAATAGCACAGAAAACATGATCGCAGCACAAGAAGGCATGCTGAACAAAGGAATAAACAGCACCAAAAAAAAAATTAACATACTGACAGTGTTAATTCATACCTTTGGTAATTACACTGACTGTCAATGGATTAAATGTACCAGTGAAGAGAAAAAGAGTAGCTGAATGATTAAGAAAACAAGACATTCAATATGTTGCCTGCAAGACACAAAACATACAGATATACAACTTACACACAAAGACAAAAACAGACTAAAAGCTAAAGTATGAAAAAAATATATACAAAGATAACAGCAATAAAAAACAAGTAGGAGTGGCAATACTAGTCTCTAATAAACTTTTAGGCAAAAACTAGCGTAAGAGATAAAGAAGGCTGCTATTCTCATGATTAAAGGATCAACTGAGCAAAATGACATAACCATAATAAAATAAATATCTAAGCTCCAAATGAAAGAGCACCAAGATATATAAAACAAACCCTACTAGAATTGAAGTAGGAAATCGACAAAGCTACAGGGGAACTGAACAGCACAATCAACCAACTTGACCTCATAGACATTTACAGAGCATTCAACCCAACAACACAATACACATTCACTTCCAGAGCACATGGTACATTCTCCAGAATTGACCATGTGTTAGGTCATAAAGCAAGCCTTCATAAATTTACAAACATCAAAATTATATAAAGCATCTTTTCAGACCACAATGCCATAAATTAGAAATCAGCAATAGGACGACCAAGGAAATAAAGTTTAATACATGGAAACTGAATAACACCCTGCTTAAATGCGATTGGATGATAGAAGAAATTAAACATGAATTCATAAAGTTCCTAGAAACAAATGAGAATGAAAACAC